ACTTTCTAAGCGTAAAGTCACATGGGCTTCGTTCGATTGTAGCAACTACGCGCGGGCAAAATAATCATCACGACTTGTGATAAAACGTATTTTTTTGGGGGGGGGGTCACGATTATGGGTTGCAATGCTTGCAGGACTGGTCTGTATGGACACTATTCATTTTCTTTATATATATATATATATATTTTTTGGGGGGGGGCTTCGTCCAAACTGATCTTTTGAGATCGGCGACTGTGCGTGCATGGGATTATGTGACAGTGGTGATGGGGGGGGGGATCGGTGCCCGTTTTGGTTCGGATGGTACGAACTCATATGAAGCATTGTATGATTTAAGGGTGTAACGATAACCTCGCGGGGGAGGGTGGTGTGTTTTTTGTTGGCAGGGCAGTTCGTTTGGTGCGATTCATGCGGTGCTGTTTGTGTGCTGCCATCTAGGTTGTACACTCTTTCCTGAGCAATGTATGTGGTGTGATCCATGTAGTGTAAGCTATGACATATGAGCGCAGCTGAGTAACCCATGTGCTACGAACGATATGTTGTGAGCTATATGGTGCACTGTATGTGGTGTGAGCTATGCGGCAACGTGGCGAAACCTCGCTGGACCCACCCAGCGCACGGGGCGCCCGCGATGTATCGACGGGCGGCAACGTGGCAAAACCTCGCTGGACCCACCCAGCGTACGGGGCGGCCACGCGGCGGCTACGGGCGGCAACGTGGCAAAACCTCGCAGGTCCCACTCACCGCGCGAGGCGGCCACGAGGTTGGCCACGGGCTGCAGCGTGGCAGAACCTCGCAGGACCCACCCAGCATACGAGGTGGCCACGGAGCGGCCACGGGCGGCAACGTGGTGAAACATCGCTGGTCGCACCCAGCGCACGAGGCCGCCGCGAGGCGGCCGCGGGCGGCAACGTGGAAAATCCTTGCCATGCCGATCCAATCCTATAGTGTACTAGGGAAGGGGCCCTACGATTAATGATTCGTGGGGTGTGTGTGGGGGGGGGGCATGTAGACAATTACATATCATTGTATACGTATATGCAAATGTATACACCCATTTGCATTTATCGATGTGTGTTTATATATATATATACATAACTATGCTCATGGACCAATCTTCGGGTGAAAAGGACTCTGCGCGGGAGCACCATTGAATGGCATTGGGCGTCCACGTCAATTCACGAGTGGCCACGCATTGGGACATCACATGGATAAGCTCATAGTCTCTGTATGCATACATTTATGTAGATATAGTTTAATGTATTGTATGCGAATTTAGTGTTGCTTCACGTATGCATCTGACTGTTAAGTCCCCTCGCTTCTTATCTGAACAGGAACCATCTACTGGTCTCAATGTCCCCCCCCCGCGCTGCGAGTGCATGTTGTGTTTAAAAATTAACCTATTACGCGCCCAAACCATCTGTATCAATGGAATCGAGGAGTTGGCCGCACCTTGCATGGGCAATCAATTTGATGTGTAAGCTACTTGGGACACGCGCCTATGGCATGATGCGCAGGAGAACCATGCAAGAACGAGGGGCGACAGCTACAGGCTCGAAGAGGACATGGGGAGTCGGGAACGCAGAGCAGGAGAAAAACGTGCGGGAAGCCGAACCATCAGCACGGCAGCAGCAGAATGAAGGTGACTGCAGGAGGAGAACAAGGACGAAAGCGGCGTCTAATGTGAATCCGCCGTGAGTGCCCACTGTGCTGGGCACCCCCCAGCAGGCTTCGAAAGTGGCGACAGTTTCACACATCGCAGCCCCCCCAGGGATGGCGAGGTCTAATTTGAATCCGCCGTGGGTACCCACTGTGCTGGGCACCCCAGCAGCCCTCGAAAGTGGTGACAGTTTCACAGATCGCAGCCCCCCCCAGGGATGGCGAGGTCCCATTTGAATCCGCCGTGGGTACCCACTGTGCTGGGCCCCCCAGCAGGCTTCGAAAGTGGCGACAGTTTCGCAGATCGCAGCCCCCCAGGGATGGCGAGGTCCCATTTGAATCCGCCGTGGGTACCCACTGTGCTGGGCACCCCCCAGCAGGCCTCGAAAGTGGCGACAGTTTCACAGATCGCAGCCCCCCAGGGATGGCGAGGTTCCATTTGAATCCGCCGTGGGTACCCACTGTGCTGCCCCCCCCAGCAGGCCTCGAAAGTGGCGACAGTTTCACATATCGCAGCCCCCCAGGGATGGCGAGGTCACATTTGAATCCGCCGTGGGTGCCCACTGCTGGGCCCCCCAGCAACCCTCGAACGTGGCGACAGTTTCACAGATCGCAGCCCCCCAGGGATGGCGAGATCACATTTGAATCCGCTGTGGGTACCCACTGTGCTGGGCCCCCCCAGCAGGCTTCGAAAGTGGCGACAGTTTCACACATCGCAGCCCCCAGGGATGGCGAGGTCCCATTTGAATCCGCCGTGGGTACCCACTGTGCTGGGCACCCCAGCAGCCCTCGAAAGTGGTGACAGTTTCACAGATCGCAGCCCCCCCAGGGATGGCGAGGTCAC